TGATGATACAAATGGCAAAAATATACACACGCATGCGCCTCCAGTCTGACGGCGCGATACAGCGCCGCACACACCTTCCTCCGCTTGCTGTGAAAGGAGGGAGGGTATGGTACGTCCCGTGAAACATGCCTTGGAAATTTCATTAACGTCGTGGGACCTGTAACTATTGTTGGGGATAAGTCTGTAAAAGAGGACAAAAGAAAAATAAACAGCGCATTAGAAGGGTGAGGAGATGAACGAAAGCTGAACATGATGGGATAGTGTGTTTAAGTAGGGCAAACCGTTTTAACATTTAATCAGCAATTAGACCCCTCTGTAACTCCTGCTTTTATAGCAAGTTTCAAATTGAGCAGAAAATGTTGCAAAGCTGATAGTGTTTGTGTAGGATGTTTACAGTGCACTTATTGCACTTTTTTCTTTATTTTCAAAATGTTTATTTGGAAACCTTATTTAGTTTGATCTACACGAACAAGGTTTTACTGAATTTATCTTTATCAGATACACATTGTTTTTTGATAGTGTTATTTTATTTATTGATTTCAAATATTTGAAAACCTTACTTTCTTGATGCTACAAGGGTCAGTGAACTTAATTTCTGGTGATCGGATGAAGCAGCCCTCTGTATTTTATTTGGATTGGTAGTATGGAAGTTTACCCTTTTATTTCATGTTTGACACTTAAAAACTGTGTTACTGTCTAGTAGGGCTGCAACAACGAATCGATAAATTCGATGAAAATCGATTACTAAAAGCGTTGGCAACGAATTGCGTCATCGATTCGTTGTGTCGCACAACTCTTCCAAAAGCGCCCCCCCTTCCCGCCCGCCGTTGCGCGCAGACCAGAGCAAGTCAGATCAGCGTGAGGGAGAGCCGCAGATCAGCGAGCCGCAGATCAGCGCGAGGGAGAGCCGGCAGATCAGCGCGAGGGAGAGCCGCAGATCAGCGCGAGGGAGAGGCGCAGATCAGCGCAAGGGAGAGCCGGCAGATCAGCGCAAGGGAGAGCCGGCAGATCAGCGCGAGGGAGAGCCGCAGATCAGCGTGAGGGAGAGCCGGTAGCGGCAGATCAGCGCGAGGGAGAGCCGGCAGACTTGCGCTGCTGCGAACCGGTTCCGCATTGTTGCACAGCGATCCAGGCAGCTGCTTCCAGCGCACGGTCCATTCTCAAAGTGGTGCAACCAAAAAACTATAATTAGCACACGATCGTTCATGTCCGCACATGTTCTCTATTTTCTGTCTTATTTGTGCCTGAAGCTCGCTACTGCGGAGCTCATCACCTGTGCTGTGGTGATTTCACCTCACGCAGCATCGAAAACGCGCTCTGCGCTTTTCGGTCAGGAGATCCCTTTGATCTGCTCAAAAGTAACTGATGAGGTGAAAAGGTAAGAATCCAGGCAACAGGTTTTCTGGAGAGTTTAGAGGAGATGCAGGAAGATGAGAGACAGACAGGACAGGAAAATAGTTCAATAAAAACAAGAAAACAAAACAAAGTGTTGAAAAGTAAAATGTAGGTAGATTTATCTCCACTACACGTTTTTACCTATAAAAAACAATAAGTTATACACATGTCATATTTACACATCTGATACAATTCAGATCACCTTCAAAACTCAGTCACACACCCAGGGCCGTTTCAAGACATTTTGGGGGCCAAGGCAAAATGCCCCCCCCCCCAATAACTGGGCTCCCCAGAAGCCTCTGTGTAATTCATGCCCTCTCCAGTAGTGTTAGTTATATGGTGTTTATAAAAGCCCCTCAGACATTACTGACATGTTCTAATATTATCAGATGAAAAACTAAATTATCAGACATGCTGTCTCATCTGCTTCTTTTATAAACTTGCAAAAAGTAACAAAACCATTTGAAAGCCACTATTTGTGGATTCTCTGAAAGTTTCCATGGAGTGTGGGACAACTTGTTTTTTCATTGATCCTATCGTCTAATCTCACAGCTGAAACAAGCATCCTTAATAATCTGTGCACAGGAAGCTTACCGATGCTGTAGTAAAACAAAAGGTATAATAATTTATTATTAATAAAACCTTGTTGCAGCACTAAAGCAGAAAAATTAGATTTTGCATTAAATATGCAAAATATTTACATATGAATTGTTTTAGAGCCCTTTAATTGGCAGAATCTGATATTAATTTAGTTCTTACAAAAAATGGGTCCCAACATGGTTTGTGTGGCGTTGCCATAGTGTGACGTCATAGGCACAGATCCCCTGTCCTCTTGTTTGGAAATGGAAATATGGTCACCCTACATTAAATATGATCACCCTACATTAAACAAACTGTCCACCCGGGCTTTTGCGCTGCACAGAGACGCTTCGCTGCCTATGACTGAACGTCAGTTGAGAGTCAGTCTCATGCAGACTAACCAATGAAGAGAGGGCCTCAAGTTAAGACCCTCTCCTCATTGGTCAGTCCACACGAGGTGGGTCAAAGGTTACTCTGGGCGGGTTACGTGTTGTCAGGCATTCAAGTATTGAGTATATTTACTGCATATTACAGTAAAATATTCTGTATGTGACCACATTATGGTGATCCTTGGGTTGTGATGATGGAGCCCTTGAATATTGTTGCCCAGGGTACAACAAAGTGTTAATCTGGCCCTGGTTCCGCCGTCACATTCCCACAGAAACTGGTTGATCACACCGGGGCCAGACTACTAGCGTGTGGTTTTACAACCACAATGTCCTCAGAAGCAAAAACGCTTTTAAAAGGGAGGGAGGAGTCCTAACTGTTGCTGCAGGCGTGTTGTGTGAGAGTGCAGTTATATACTGGTTAATATAATTTTGGGTTCAGTTGCTTTCATGTGGCCTAATGTGAGTCTATTTGGGATCATTGGAATGATCAGCAGCATTTCTTGATGTGACTTTATGGCAGTTGCCCAGGGCATCATCGCAAGGAGGATGGCATTCATTTACTTTTGTTTTATTTGGTATTTTTTCAGTCATTTTTGGAAATAGTGATCAATTTTGATTAATTCACAGCCTATGTTTAATTACATTTAAAATAAATGTCAACAGATGAGATCAAACAAAACAGATGAGAATTGCCCTTAAGCTGTTTAACTTGGACCAAGCATTTTAGGTCACAGATAGATGTAGCTTAGGGTCTCTGTCTATACACCTTATAAGACAATTTAGGTGATGGCATGTTGTTTTTCTGCTATTGAACTGTTTTCTAATAATGTTGTGTTAAATAAAGTGAAGGAAGGAGAGAAATAACGTTTCCCTAGCAGTTTTTAAAAATTTCCCCATGTAATCCGATTAATCGATTAATCGTGTCGAGACCCCATCCGATTAATTGATTATCCAAATAATCGTTTGTTGCAGCCCTACTGTCTAGTGGTGATTGGACTCTGGGCTGTTCAGTTTATATGACAGGGTTGTTTCTTTGATTGTGTATATTGCACTAGTATCTTGTAACCCTATCTTGAAATTTAATAAATATGCATTTGAAACATTACAGTTGCATATTTATTTTTCAGGATGGACATTTTGTGACCTCATACTTATCTTAAGTTACCTTTTGAGACATGGTGCTATTGGGCTCCTACCCGTAGAGCTTTCTCGAGTACAAATACATGATTGTAGAGAAGAGTTTATTATAGCCTCATAAAATCAACCATAATGATAATAATAATGATTTTAAAGCAAACAGACCTCTAGTATCAGAATAATATCGGTATCGGCAGATATCTAAATCCAGGTATTGGAATCGGATCCAAGTGAAAAATTGTTGATCGGTGCATCCCTAGTACAACGTCCGCATCACTGCATATGCAGCACCAATCCGCTTATCGATCCCATGCTTCAGCTTTCTCTCACTCGTGAACAAGACCCCGAGATACTTAAACTCCTCCACTTGGGGCAGGATCTCATCCCTGACCCGGAGAAGGCATTCTACTCTTTTCCGACTCAAGCCCCTCCGTCTGTTCTTATTGTAATAAAAAATTTTGTCAATCACGTTGAACGATCAGCTAACCAAATACATGATTTAATAACAATCTTGAGATTTTAGGAGGAATGCAGAGAAGCACTCTGACAGACAGGACGAGAGCCTTAGGATAAACATGAGGGAGAGGAGAGGAGATGTGTCTGTGTTCTACGAGTGCCGGAAGAATTATATTATAAGAAGTATATTAAAATTATATTCAGATGTGTTTTCCAAGACAAAATTTGAAAATATTAACACCTTTTCCAAAACAGAAAAAAGATTCCATGTTGGTTTTTAGTGTAAAATAGAAAATAAATGATAAACAGATTATCTGGTGCAGTTTTTCTGGAATGAGGAAAGATCTGTAAAAGCAAACTGTAGTAGTGTGATGCCTTAGCCTGGCAAGCCAGACTAAATAAATATATCTGTCAGGAAACGTTCCAGGGATGGCTCTCGGTCGTGGGGCCGTTTCTACCTTTGTCTTTCAAACGATCACTGCATGCTACTGGACAATAAACAACGGGACGTACTCACTGCAACGCATGTCAGTCAAATAGGCAGTCCACTGTTGAAGAAGGCAAAAGTACATAATTTTTCTAAAAATAAGACTTAAACACACCTATCTGCTCCTGATTCTAATAAAGCCCGAGTTCAAATAGTCCAAAATTGATGTAAAAGTCGTTCCAAATAAGCTGTAGCCATCTTGTTTACCTACGTCGCATCATCCCACCCACCAAACCAATAGAGCACCTTGATTGGCCCACAAAGCCAAAAGAGCGCTGTAATTGATGCACCATTGTGGAACAATCACATTGCTCTATGGGTTTGACACCCCAGTAGAGAGCTGTGATTGGTCCCGCCAGAATGCAGCTGGGGGCCATGGGGCATTCCTAGCCTGTGGCCATAAACAGATCTTTGTGGATGTTCAATGTTTATTTTCTTTAAGTAAGAGCTAGTCTGAGGTCTCATTATTTTCCAAACATCTTTATTTGGAACAGATTAAAATAAAATGAGATTTATTTTTTATCACATTAATCTACATTTTCTTTTATCCTGTCCAGAACCTCCACAGCATCAAGTTTGGGAAAAAGAGAAGGTTCTGACTGACCAGCAGCTCTTTAACCAGGAGTCGACCTCCAGTTTGGACCAGGAGGAACCAGAACCTCCACTGATCAAGAAAGTCCAGCAGGAGCTCTGTAGCCAACAGCATGAAGGGCAGTTCCTTCTGAAGCAGGAAAATGTTAACTTCATGGAGACTTCTTCTGAAGAAACAGAATGCCATGAACCAGAACAGAACAGGACCCAACCCTTGTGTCAGAGTTCTACAGAAGCTGAGAATCAAGATCAGGGTGGATGCAGGAAAAAAAACTCAGAATCAAAGGGCAATGAAGAACTGACACGTAACAAAAGACATCAAAAAACCAATCATCATAGAGACAGTGTAAATGGTCAAAAGCTAAAAAGGCAGAAGAGGGCTCACAGAGGTGAAAGGCCATTTTCGTGTGAGCTCTGTGGAAAATATTTCAGTCACAAGTGTTATTTAAATGTTCACATGAGAGCTCACACAGGTGAGAAGCCTTATTCATGCAAAACTTGTGGTAAATGTTTTAGTCTCAGTGGTAACTTGACTAAACACATGAGAACTCACACAGGTGAGAAGCCATATTCATGTAAAACTTGTGGTAAATGTTTTAGTGTCAGTGGTAACTTGACTACACACATGAGAACTCACACAGGTGAGAAGTCATATTCATGTAAAACTTGTGGTATATGTTTTAGTCGCAGTGGTCACTTGACTACACACATGAGAACTCACACAGGTGAGAAGCCATATTCATGTAAAACTTGTGGTAAATGTTTTAGAGACGGTGGTACCTTGACTACACACATGAGAACTCACACAGGTGAGAAGCCATATCCATGTAAAACTTGTGGTAAATGTTTTAGTGTCAGTGGTAACTTGACTACACACATGAGAACTCACACAGGTGAGAAACTATATCCATGTAAAACTTGTGGTAAATGTTTTAGAGACAGTAGTTCCTTGACTACACACATGAGAACTCACACAGGTGAGAAGCCTTATTCATGTAAAACTTGTGGTAAATGTTTTAGTGTCAGTAGTGTCTTGACTAAACACATGAGAACTCACTCAGGTGAGAAGCCATATTCATGTAAAACTTGTGGTAAATGTTTTAGAGACAGTGGTGCCTTGACTACACACATGAGAACTCACACAGGTGAGAAGCCATATCCATGTAAAAGTTGTAGTAAATGTTTTAGTGTCAGTGGTGCCTTGACTAAACACATGAGAACTCACACAGGTGAGAAGCCATATCCATGTTAAAGTTGTAGTAAATGTTTCACACAGCGTGTTGCTTTGATTAATCACATGAGAATTCAACACATGTGAAATGTTTTTTCCATGTTTGTTCTGTAGGAGATTCAACCAGACATTTTCTTTCAACTTCTTATATGAAAATTCACACTTGAGATTTTATTCACAAGTGTGCTTTTATGAAAGCTTTTTCTACATTAAAATTTAGTCGAGGTTTTGTTTTTTTATACATTTTTTTAAAGTTTATTTTACAGTAAATCTCTTGGGTTACAGTATGAATGAATGCCTTGTGAGAACGTTTCTGTAGAAAAAAAGCTCTTGTGTTTCAAGAATTAAAGGTTAGTCAGAAGAGTGGGTGGAAAGTGGCAGGATTTGGAGTCTGACTCATTAATAATCATGATGTAGGAACATCTTGCCTCTGACTGACTAACAGCAATGCTGCTGTCTCGCTGCTCCCGTTTGTAACAATGCAGTGTAATTTGTGTGAAGGTTTCATTAGTATACATTAAGGACATATCAGCTGTAATGTCCATTTTTGGTTTGGGCTTTTATAAATAGCTAATTTTTGTTGAGTTTTTGCTTTCCCTCCCAAATCATGTTCGTGAGACTGTGAGAACAGTAGGGTGTGTATTTGTGGGAGATGCAGTCTCCCTGAGGTGATTGATCTGGTGAGATTAAAATCCAAATTACTTATTGGGCATAAATATGTATGTGTACACAGATTGGGTAACTTGGAGTTAGAGGGGTGGTCCCCTTTGGTAATTTGGAGTGTTGCATCCTTGTATCAGTCAGCGATGGGCGGACCCTTCAGAGGATTGTAAGGAAAATCCTCCCGCTGACTTCAGTGTATAGGGTTAGGGTTAACCCTAACAGTGTATACACGTCGGAAAAGAATAGAAACACTGGGAACACGATGTTTTTCCAAGGTGATTTAGCATTTTCTGACCTAAAATTAATGCAGAAAAGCTTATGGGGAGATGTCTTCATAGTAGCATGGTCGACCAGCTGCATAGAACACTAATCCTTAGGTTGTCAGAAAATATGTGTTATTTGTTGGAAAATATGTGTTCTTTTATTTATGCTAAGGATTTTATTTTGAAGGTTTCCTGTGGTCTTTGTAAATTGAAACCATCCTCGTTCCATATGACTAAGTGTGTCGATTTAAAGGGTGAAGCTTTATTTTATGTTTTCAGTTATTGAGTTCTTGCTGGTTATCAGACTTCTAGCAATTCTGTATTTCAACACTATAGAATATATTTAGGTGCTGTATTCATGACCACAGCCTAAAGCAGAGATGAAACTGACTAGCAGTTCTCTATCAAACATTTTAGTTGTCATCTCTGGCATTACAGTTAAGAAAACGGAGGGAGGATGCACAAGCATAACAACAGAAAGCAAAATTTGTTATTGACGAGGAAGCAGTCAATAACAAAGGCATGGCTCTCTCTCTATATATATATTTAGAGTGCCTAGGTAGCACATAAAAAGGCAATTTAACGGTTTTCTTAAAGCAGGAACGTTTAACCTGTGCGGCCAGAGCTCTCTCCTTCTTTAATACGTCATCCCAAAATAGAAGCTAATATCTTAATTTGACCTGGAATGAAAAATGTTGTTATAAAACCTCTTAAAAGTTTTTATCACGGAGGAGGCAGCGCTCATTTCTGCCTTCAGCCTGACGGTGCGCTGGAGTTGGCGCAGCGTGCGCTTATTGAGTGAATGTAGGATCTGCTCCATCACTGACATTCCAGGCTAACAAGGAGTTACGCTCTCGTGTCAGCAACTAACAGCAAGCTGCAAAGAAATATGCAGATGCAAAACGTGCAAGAGTGCCAAACATCAGGGAAGGAAGCTTTGTGAGAGTATGGAAGCTAGGTACAGGTACAGCCAAGTAGAAAAAATGCTATGGTCAGGCAGCATGAATTAACTACTTTATGGAGGATGCTGTTCCTCCATCTGATAAGCACAATTTGGGAAAAAGGATGAATTAGACTGCCTTCCAGGGAAGGTAGGTTAGATCTACAGATTGCAGATCACAACTGTGCCCCAAATATCTAGAGGACAGATGTCACAAACGATGAACGAGGGGTCAAAAGGAAAAGAAAGACAAAAACAAACACACAAGGGCAGAAAACAATTAAACCGATTAAAGAAAATATCAGCTCCAAGATTTAAGAGTGGTTTGGCTTTTGTAATGAAGTGTGTTTCATGCAGAAAAGGAACAAGTGCTGCACGGCTCAGAGGCTTACCAGCAACTGCTTCCTCGTCAATAACAAATTTGCTTTCTGTTATGCTTGTGCATCCTCCCTCTGTTTTCTAAACTGTAATGCCAGAGATGACAACTAAAATGTTTGATAGAGAACCGTTAGTCACAGTTGTATCACTGCTTTAGGCTGTGGTCATGAATACAGCACCTAAATATATTCTATTGTTGAAATACAGAATTGCTAGAAGTCTGTTAGCCAGCCAGAACTCAATAACTGAAAACAAAATAAAATAAAGCTTCACCCTTCAGATCGACACTGTTATGTGCAGCGCCCGTTTTTGGCCACAGGATGGCCTCAGCGGCCTTCTGCTTCACCTGTCTCACAGTGAACAGGTGTTTATGATTATTCATAATCATGGATCAGCTGTTAAAAGCTGCCCTCTTGCCCTCATTCAGAGAGAAGGTACAGGGTAGTATAGACTCTTAGGAGTTTATGCTATTCTCTTCTCCTCGTGTGCTTGGCTTAGTATTTTTCTCGTTCGACTTTGGTATTTGACTCATTTTGGAATTTGGATTTGGATTTAGGATTTGACTATTTGGTAACTTGACTTCGGACCGGCTTTAGATTTTGACTTTGGATAACCCTCGCTCTTTTTAGTCTCGGTTGTTTATTCCCATCCCCTTTGGGGTTGGTGTTTTCCGTTCTTCCCTTCGTTTTGTAGATAAGCTCCTTTGTGTTTTGTATATAGATATTTCTTTTAAGGTTGTAAGTATTCATTTTGTAATAAATTCCTTGTTTTTTAGCGACACTGCACTTTGTTATTATTTAATCCACACACCATTTTTATTACTCCCCTCCTCATCTCTCCTAGAGAGCCGGGGGACGTAATAGACACACTCAGTCATATGGGACGAGGATGGTTTAAATTTACAAAGACCACTGGAAACCTTCAAAATAAAATCCTCAGCATATTTAAAAGAACACATATTTTCCAACAAATAACATATATTTTCTGACAACCTAAGAATTACTGTTCTATGCAGTCCTTGTAGAGGGTAAAGTGGTGTTCTGTTTATCGCCAGCAGAGGGCGCAGATTTCCCATTCTTTCAAGGAAACAAAACAGTGTTTGGAAGAAATTAGCTAAAGTCTTTTTACTAAAGCCTCATTTATGCTTCTCCGTCTGCGTCAGTGCGGAGACACGCAACGCCATTATTCGTCCTTGCGTAGGGCACGCAAGTACGTACGGAGTCGAGCCCACTTTTTTAAACATCCGTTGAACGAGACGGATTACGCAAGCTTGTGATTGGTCAGGACGCCGCTGTTGTTTACAGTGCCGCCATTGCAAAGAGAGCCGAGGATAACTAGCGCAGACACAGAGAAGCTTGAAGAATACCTCGCGAAAAAACTCTAAAAACATGAACGTTTAATTCTCCCGTGACTGGAGGAGTGAAAAGATGCGCAGCAGATGTTTTATTTGTGGACGGAAATGACAGGAAACGTGGGTTTAGAGGTGAGGAGTGCATGAAGCGGTGGGAGAATGAGAGAGAAATATGTCCGTGTTAAAAGTCTCTTATATACACAAAAAACCCAATATAAACACACGATCTTGGACCGATACATGACAGGATACCACAGAAAAGCGCTACGCCCTCTGTGGTCCTGCTAGGCACTTGCTTTGCAACACTCCCCAGGAGACGGAGAAGTAAAAGAGCAAAACGCTTCTCTCAATCCATGCGTGTCTGTCCCTTGCGGAGCTGACAGAGAAGCATAAACCAGGCTTAAGGAAGTTTTTAACCTTTATTAATCCAGATTCATAATCCATAGCCGTCACTCACAGGAGACACAATGCCACCCACCACCTCAAACTGACCTACAGCGAAAGAAGATCAAACAGAAGACCTGCAGGCCTCTGGAGGTGTTGGTGATTTGGTGGGCGGTGGTGGTTGAGTGCTTTTGTTGTCTCATCGGCCTGACCTGGCGGTACCGGGCCCGGCGGCGCCGAACCCGGTGTGGAGTGCAAGAGAGACAGTCTCATGCAGACTGACCAATGAAGAGAGGGCCTCAAGTTAAGACCCTCTCCTCATTGGTCAGTCCACACGAGGTGTGTCAAAGGTTACCATGAGTGGGTTACGTGATGTCAGGCATTCTAGTACTGAGTATATTTACTGCATATTACAGTAAAATATTCTGTATGTGACCATATTATGGTGATCCTTGGGTCGTGATGATGGGGCTCTTGAATATTGTTGCCCAGGGTACAATGAAGTGTTAATCTGGCCTTGGTGGACTGTCAGTCGGTTGGGGGTGGGGCGGTGCAGAGACGTATGAAGATGGTCGTTCTGAGACATGAGACTGTATGTTTTTTGGTGACCATTCCAGCAGGAGTGTGTAAAACAGATTATTGCTTAATTAAAATTGAATAAAAAATATATATTTAACTTGAAATAAATTGTAATGCTTGATTCCCACCTTGATTGTTGTGGTACAGCCATGGGAGGAAGTGATTTCAGTTTATTTCGGGTCCCAGCCAGATTCTTTGTGTTTACTGTTTTCTTCCCTCTCACTGTTTTCCTGCTGCTCTCTCCATCATCATGCTCACTTATTTATACTTCATCAGGTCAGGGTTACAAGGACTCATCATCTATCAGCAGTAAAGAGTTACAGCTACATGTCACAAATGCTTCCTGGGAACTTTTAGTTATAATTAATGTAAAATTATTTAAAATCCATCTAGGGTCATTCATAATATAACCAGGTATTGTATTTTGCCAAGAAAAGGAATCTATCATGTTAAGCTAACTTCTTGATGTAACTGCATCCACTAAACAGAGGATTATGTTCATGTGGAACACCAGCATGAAGTTATTGACGTTATGAAAGCAAACATGGCTGGAATCAGTTTTACTGTAATCTTGTTATTATTCTTTAAGTGTACGTGCTGCTGTAGTGAGTGAATGTCCCCACTGTGGGACTAATAAATCTATTCTGTTCTATTCAATACATTTTTATCAGCCAGTAGGAAAA